TGATGATTACACTACCACAAAGGTAAAGTTAATTCTAAACGGTGCTATTGTTAAGAAAAAACCATACAACCCAACTAATAATTTTCCTGGCCGCTTATCAGTCTCACTTACCATTTGACTAACAAGGCAGTCTTATTACATAGCATACTAGAATATGTTTAGTTATGCGATCACAATAGAGGTAATGTTATATCAGTGTCGATATAGCTGTTGCAGCCGTATGTTCTGCTGAGTAATGGCCGATAGATCCAATATGTGCTAGGTTAATAAGCCAGTAAGCTCACGTAGGGGCAATTTGTGGAGGAAGGGGGGAGTCTCACAAAAGTTCCTCTGTAACGAACTGGTCCCAATAAAATTGCTCGCGTTTAAACGTTTCTACGTGTTTCTTGTCTACCTTTAGTAAGACTAGAATAGTTTTTTCTTTTTTGTAAAACATTAATTTAATGGTATACTGTCTTCAAGGTGGCCCTGTGATCAAGAACTTGGAATTCAAAACTTCACTGAATAGTAAAAGTTATAGCGAACCTTTTGTTACAGCGAAAAGTCTCGCAACAATTTATTAATTTATCTTCTAAACTTAAAACATAAGTAACTTGTTACTTTGAACGTATCAACAACACAATTATTTGTGTAATCCATTAATTATTATTCCATATCTGGATTGTATGGATTGAAATGAGAAATGAAAATGTGAAATTATTTATGTATTTATAAACGCACACACGAAAAAGTATAAAACGCTAGAGCGACGTCTCATTAAAAAAAATCAATCATTCCATCGACAACTACTTAAGAAATTCATCCAAAAATATATATTGAACAACATTTTACACAAGCATACATTCACATCAAAATGTCAACACACAAACACACACATAAGGTCGTGTAAATCTGTTGAATTTTTATCACTCCTGTTTAATTACTCCCTGGAGTGTTGTAGAGTTAAATTTTTACGAGCCACTGCGGATTACTTAAGGTTTACGCTTTGGACATTGTTATGTAGATATGTATAATAAATGAAAAAGAAAATTTTGATTTTCTGAAATCTGGGCTAGGTTTTTCATACTACGGAGCCGATTTTGTAAAAAAGGCAAGTTTGATTCTCATTATCGTAGTCAATATGTAGAATATTCAAACCCAACAACGCCACCATCAGCCCATGACATCTATTGGTGAAATGTGCGTTCTCTACATGAGAGGTCTTACTGTAACTTCGCTTATCAGGCGTGTCGGACATCATAATTGGGTACTTACCAACTAATCAAATTAAATACTTTTTTCTATGAATTTTGTACGATTGTGTATTGTGACGTCACGTTCTTTAGGCGACAAACAGCATACTTATTACTTAAAATTTTGCTGGAAAAATATTAAAATTAAAGGTGGTCATAAAATCAATTCATGAAAGGGTGATTATATTTTATTGTATTGAACAGTCGAAATAATTTATTTTTGATTAAGGATACCCAACTTACAAAGATCAGTTTTATCAGAGATTGCTACCTTATTAAGAAAGAAAGAAAGAACCCATTTTTCACACGCAAAAAAACAAGTGAATATACAGATGTGTTATTTTATCAGAAGGCAATGATGGATACGTCTTCATATCCCAAGTCAGCGGTGAAATGGGACCAGTTCAGCAAGTATAAGACAGGGCCTTGTGTTGGAGCGCGCTATTACCCTGTTCTGTCAATTGTGTAGGTTCCACTCTGTGTATTCTTTTAACACTCACGAGGGTAGGGTTAAACATATTATGGTACTTTGCCTTGACCACACAGCTTAAATAAGCAGTACTTTCTAAAACAAAATAAGAAATCACAGAAAACCAACTTGAAGCAACGCTTGCGTTGTATTTCGTCGTGTGAGTGAGGTTACCGGAAGCCCAATACCCCAATCTCCCTAATCCCTGATCCCCCAACCATCCTCAAACTCCTGATAACCCGAAAAGACCGGTAACGCACTTGTAACGCCTCTGGTATTCCAAATGTCCATGGGCAACGCGGATTATTTATCATAGGGTATTCCGTTTGCTCGTATTTATGCCAGAAAAAAATTATTTACTTCAAAAGAAAACAGCAAACACTAAATGAATTTATTTCCTTCATCAAGTCGTTAATGTTGAATGTTTAGTTAGTTAGTCGTAATAGTGTTTACTGTGAGACCTAGGGACCTACAATTATGTCATTGAGGTCACTCTTGTACACTAGTACATCCAGTGTTTACTCCGCGGTTCCTTCTAAGTGAGTCTTAGAACCTCAAAAGGTTATTTTTATTTTATCTATCTATCTGTTACCTGCGACTTCACTCGTATCTTAAAGGAAAAAGAGTAGCCTAAAATCGCCTCGTTCATTTTTACACATCCATCCAGACATTCTCAAGAATTTGCACAAAGTCAAAGTCAAAGCATTTATTTCAATTAATCCTTAATTAGGCACTTGTGTCCGTCCGTCTGTCAGTCAGTGAAGCTGGCTAGCGGTCACATTTACCTTATAGTCTTCATACTTACATAACTTCACGCCTGTCTCCCATGGGGGAAGGCAGAGACTAGGGAACGCCAATTACTACGATTCCTACATACCTCTTTCGCTTCATCAACAGTCATCAATCTTTTCATGCATGCTTTTCGGTTAAGGGTACTTTTAATTTGGCCCTTTTTTAATATATCGCCAATCTGGTCACTATAGTATTTACAAGTTAAATAGGATATGAAATATCATTAAAAGATTAACCCTAAACCTTTTTTAAATATATATTCACAATACTAAAATCAAACAACATATTATTTAGTTAAAACACTTTGAACAATGACAATCTACAATTATTTCCCATAATGGTACCAAAAGTACTTATGACGTCGAAACAATGAAACAGAACGATTTAATTTTAATAAAAACAAAAGCATAGCTTTGATTTAAACACAGGGTTTATAGCGACATAAATCAAAGCGATAAAGGAATTTTTATTGTGCACTTGATGAATGAGGCTTTGATCAGGCATACGATAGAATTTAGGAGATTTTTTAAAAATTTAAAATTGAGGTCAGCAATTTTAAACCTATATACATACTAGCGACCCGCCCCGGCTTCGCAAAGGTGCATTATGTATGTATTACCCACATAAACCTTCCTTAACTCTTTGAGTACCGTCATTATAGACACAATTAAAGAACAATAGGTTGCGGTCACCGGTGTCCTCGCAGTGTTTGACAGTTTAAAAATCACTCTATCTATTAAAAAATAACGTATCAAAATTCGTTGGTAGTTTTAAAGATCTAAGCATACATAGGGACAGGCAGGCGGCGGATTGCGACTTTGTTCTACACTATGTAGTGATGATAAAACTGTAGATGTGTAAATTCTGTACATTAAAAATATAAAAAAATAATAGTAGGGGGTGTAACTAGATAGCAACCGAACACAAAAATGGGAATAATTTTTTTTTTGTCTGTCTGTATGTGCACGCATCACGCAAAAACTACCGGTCCGATTATGATGAAACTTGGTATGATTATACTTTATTATCCTGGGCACAATACTGAGTAATTTTATCCTGAAAAACTGTATACACGTAAAGACAAACTTAATTATGCGGCTCAATCCCTATATAGGGATTAGGCATTAGAAGATTGTTGAGGATTCGGGAATTGGGGAGGTGGTTAATCGACAACCTCACTCACAGAACGAAACACGTCGATTTTCTGCTCTGCCGTGTTATCACCCCGGTCGAGCCTTCCCATTCGTGCCGAAGCATGGTTTTCTTACACTTAGACAGTGCTACATGTTTCCAATATTATCAATCCGCCACTGCAGAGCTAAAATGTCATAAAATATGTACATTTCCTTACTAGTCAAATCGCATATCGTGTCCTAGATAAATCCTAGTCAACCTTTTCACATAAACCTCTTTTTTAACCTACTCGTACACAAACAAGCTGGCCTAAATAGCATATTCTTTTTTTAATTTGAGCGCTATAGCCGACGAAGCAAAAGTAGTTAGCCAATAGTTTTGGCAAGGGCCCGTGAGAGGAAACCATTCATATTGAGTAATGCTTCCTCGTTGCCCCTATATTACGCACTACCATCCTAGTGGAAGATATTTGTAACTAAAAGTATCTTCAGTTCGACGCTCGAACATAAGAATTATCTTTTAAGCTCCATTTTTTGTGAGCGCCACACTTTTTTGTTAGTAAATAAGGTTGGGTTTATTGTTAGGGTGTTTTTTAAATGTGTTGGATTTTTTTTATCGGATAAAATAGTGAATGTAATTTCTAATCTGAATAACTTACGTAGGTCTGTTTGTATGTACTAGCGTAGCGTTTGTGTAGATTATAGCAGTTACTGTGATATTCGAAAAAAACTTCCCATTTTAGGGTTGTTTTTTGAAATCAATATTTCCACGTAAATTCAATATCTTCTTCAGAATATTTCTACAAAGAGTTTTCAATTAAGGGTTACTCCTGTCTCTTATTTAGCTAAAATAAAATCAACAAACAAAATGAAAACGAAATGAAAATCGTCGCCCTCGCATAGAGCGTACCTTGACCGTGCACTAATAGGGCCGCGCGCGTACCCACTGTTTCATATAATGACAGACATCGCTCCAATGGGATAAACGCCTACTTATTGCAAGGTTGTGACGACGATCCAGGCAGTCCTGCGGGCTACGGGCCACTCTGCCGCCGTGAGCCGACACTACGCCCGGCCAATTGCCTCTAATGACACCACTCGAACGCGTATCCGTCCAATCAACTCTTAAGACAAGAGGATCCTTCAGTCTGCTCGACGGGCCGACACTATCGCACCGTTAGTGGATTGCTCTGGACCAGAATCAGTGAATACCGAGTGATTGTTATGAAGTGATGTGTAATGTTATGTGAACAATGAACGCAGTGCTGTTTGTGTGCAACGATAACATTCCTCGTGGGAATCTTCACATCCCAAGCCAAGGCATTCCTGTAACGATGATTGATTGAACTTTAGTAAACCCACAAATTGGACATCATGAATGGGATAAGCGCGACGGCTGACAAGCCCGCGACGGGCGTCGAGGCACCACTGAAAGATGAACCCAAAGCCAAGAGAACTGGGGTTAAGGAGAAACTCATGCAGATTAGGTCGAATATAACCGTCGAACCTATCATAGCTTGTTACATCATGTCAAACGTATTCTCAGGACTTGCAGTGCAGAATTTGAATTTGGAAAAGGCGTGTAGAGTTAATTTAGGGTATTCTGACGAAGTGTGTTCCGCGCTCAATAGGCGACAAACAGAGAACTATACATTAGAGGAATCCGAAGTCCAGAAGTTGACCGCGTCAGTGCAAGCGTGGAAAAATATTGTCCAAACTGCGTTCCCTTGTATTTTAGTGTTGTTTGTCGGTTCGTGGAGCGACAAGACGGGGAAGCGGAAGGCATGCATACTGTTGCCTATCGTAGGGGAAGTGTTGTGTTGCACGAGTTTCATTCTAAACACATATTTCTTCTATGAATTACCTCTGGAAATAACGGCCCTCTCTGATCTGTTTCCGTCACTAACCGGAGGATGGATAACAGTGTGCGTCGGTGTATTCAGCTACATTGGTGATGTAACCACAAAAGAAATGAGAACATTCAGAGTAGGAGTGGCCAATTTGTGCATGTCCCTCGGTATACCTATAGGCATGTCCCTGAGTGGCATTCTGCTGCAACAGATCGGTTACTACGGCATATTTTTAATATCGAACTGTCTGTATCTGACGAGTTTGATATATGGATACATACGATTGAAGGATCCGATCATATCATCAGACAGACAACGAGTAAGTATTTCGTGAACTAAAATTGTTATTTGCTACTTTTAGAAAGATTATGGGGAAAAAATGCTTGTTAAAATTGAAAGATGGTGGGTCAAAGTCTAGGGTTAATGGAGTATCGGTATGTGTTCTGATAAGGCGCGGTGAGGCCATACATCATTTGCAGAGTAGCTCGACAGCCTGGTTAGTCCTATGTCTAAGTGATAAATTGCTGCGCGCCCACTACGCAAATTCGAACGAAGGGGGACATCGTAACGCAATCAGCGATTTTACGCGAGGCTCGCATAGGTGTCGACTTGGATTTATATCCCTCGAATCCTTTGGCATACTCGCGAATAGTATAGAACTCACTGTGTGATACAGAACATTTTTAATGAATATTTTAATAGTTTTTCTCGCAGTTATTGAGGATAGAATCGCGTCGGGTCGAATTTTATGAAAAACATAAAAATTTTCTGTTTATTTTTTTTGCAATTATTTAACGATTTTCGTTGTAAAAAATATATACCTATATGTATGGGTACATGGACTATGAAAAATTTGGTAAACTTCGGCAAATGTATGTTTTTGTTGTTTTTATCATTCAAAGTTTTGATTGCATCTCCTCTTTGGAGTTTTAAATGGAATTGTTTTTGTGTGAATCTGTCCCTTGGCAGTGGCTTATCAAAAGTGCTGTAAACACAATCTGAATGCATTTCGTATGCTAAAGAGAACACGAAAATAAAGTGGGGATTATTGCGGGATTTTGTTTGAAACCTGAAATTGCACTTATTCGCTCGTTCGTCCCGGCCGGGGGTAAATTAAATTCGCTTCGCTTTATAATTAATTTATGTGAAATTAAATTTTATCTTTGTGCTATGAGCGTCCAGGGAAGTCTGGCGACTGCATCATGAAGTCTCTTTGTTTAGTAAAGCTTGTTTGAAAACCGTGTATGTTCAGCAAAAATATGGTTTTGAGTAGGATGTTAATCAGACGTGATAATTACTTCATTCTGTTGTACTCAAAGGATAACTATTTGTTTTTAAAATTATTATCATTATCAACCGTCCTCTGCTAAATATGTCTTGTCATTATCCCATTTATGAGTTCTCTACATCCAACCACTGCCACATAGCTGATATAGCTACCACTACTGAAGAGCTTAAACTAATGTTTGTAAATATTATTCTTACAGCCCTATGAGGTTATAAACTGTATAATACTTCGAAATATTACCAATATAACATGACATGACTGCCTCGTTGGCCGAGTAAGTGCTACTCCCGGGGTCTCGGGTTCGGTTCCCGGATCGGGCAAAGTGGGTGGGTATTCTTAAATAAACATAATAGAAGCACAGAACAGAGTTTTGTCACAGAATTGTGCCCGGTTATAGCAATAGGTTCACCCCGTATTACATGGGACTCAAAACATAAATAGTGAAAAGTGGTAGTTGCATTAAGTGCCGTAATGTGCACGTCTGCCTACCCCTTCAGGGATGAAAGGCGTGATGTTATGTTATTTAGCAATATATGTAATTGCGGTATTTTCCATATAAATGTAGGAATCATATCAGTGTCTATTTATTTAGCCCTGATTTCTATTCAAGGAAGAAATAAGTGTGCACTGGCTGATTGCCTTCCTACACGCAATCTGCAGCGTAGGAAACTATTGTCTCAGATACAGCAGTTAGTTCTAACAAACAGTATATTTATAGCCATAATCTGATGTAGATATTTACCTAATTGTAAGCAAAGCTAACTATAGAAAGAAAGAAAGAAGAAAGAAAGAAAAATTGTTTATTTGCACATCGTCACAAAGTGAAATAACACACAAAAAAAATTAAAACAGTGAAGACGGCGAAAAGAGACCAGTTTTCATTTATATATTAACTCTTTAATGCACACAAAATAAGGTACATTTGGCGGACTTAATGCCATATAGCATTTTCTTCCAATAAACCTTTGGGGTAAGTAGAGAATCAGCGAAAATAAGCTTGTGTAATATACAGTAAAATATAACAAAATAAATAACTAATAGTATTTATAAATACTGAATAACATATTTAAAACAGATCTGTATGTCAAAGTGAAAACAGAAACATATACAATAAATAGACATAGAATTTGGTATATAGATTTTCGCTCCTGCAGCTGTAGCCACTATGCCATTTAGCGCTTATCTACATGTAGAATAGAAAACCAAATTATATGGAATTGACGTAAATTTTGACACTTGTCAGTGTCAATCCCATACATTTAGTTTTCTACTCTCTCTGTGGACAAGCGCTAAAGTGGCGTATGGCTAAAGGCACTGAAATGTTATGAAAGACCACCTTATTTGATATTGTGACACCAGAAAGCAAAAGTGTACGACTTAATATATATTCAATTGTGACTGCACGGTTGGTGGGTGGGTGGTTGTGGCTGCCGCGCAACGTGTAGCGGGTTCGATTCCCACACGGAGCAACTCTTTGTGTGATCCACCAATTGTTGTTTCGAGTCTAGATGCCATGTGTATGTGAGCTTGTATGTTTGTAAACGCTACACCACAAGGGGAAATCTTAGTGTAGGGCAACGTTTTTTTTTTAATTACCAGACACCAGTGTCTGGCAACACAGATGGCAGATTGGGTGTCCAAATGAAGAAAACTAAAGTATGAACTGCAAGCATTTGAGACGAAATTACATAACATAAACAGAACATCACGCCTTTTATTGTCAAAGGGATAGGCAGAGGTGCACATTACAGCACTTAATGCCATTGTACAATGTAACACCAACTTTTCACTTTTATATTATGAGTCTCACATAATAGGGGGTGAGCTTATTGCCATATGCCGGACACAATTCCAGACTCCGTGCTACTACTGAGATTTTTTTTAAAACCCAATAATACTTTGCCCGACTCGAGAATCGAACCCGAAACCCCTTACCGGCACTTACGACCACTCGGCGAACGAGGCAGGCGGCCAACGAAATTACTTAAAGATTCTAGATACTCTTTCTTTATAAACTTTTCTAATGATCTCCATGGGCACAGTTAATCACTGGTCGTTTGCTCCCTATCCCATAAAAAATACAAAATTATACCATTGTTTATCTCGTCAGGATAAAAACAAGCATAGTGGGTACTATCTCATATACGTACTACTATGTTATATAATAAGGAAACGTTGACAAACACGCGAATATTGATACAGACAGGAGACACCACATGTCATTGGGTAGAAAGGGAAACCGAAATTTCAATTGGTTAGGGCCCGCCAATAGAGCAGTTGAATCATCGCCCGTCAAGGTCACCATTTTAAATGTTACACGTGGTGTTCTTTTTTGAGTGTTTTTTTTTTTTATTTAAAAAAATCTAATAAAGTATGGGCTACTAAAGTACTGATGGCAGAAAGATTTATCTGTGTGACAAATGTTTCGTTGGTGTATTTTTTATTATACCTCTACATTTTTTGTTATGCTGCGAATCCACTAGAAGATTCACTGACAGGAATAGAACTAGTATTAAACTTGATTCAGTGTGGTTTGTTATGTCCATGTATATGTAATTTGGCTGAAGTAAAGAGTACCTACTTATTAAGCTATTATCTAAAAAGCAACACAAAATAATCTTTAAAGTTAATCCATTGTAATCATAATCATAATTTTACTATTCCATGGTCCATGGGTAGCACTAACAAGAATATAATTTATGAAAACCTCTATCCAGAAAAGCTAGCAAACAATGCATCAAGCAAAAAAATGCAAAATAAGCATCTAGAAAATATGCATAAAGTGACTGATATGAAATAATTTAAGTACGATCAATTTATATGCAAAATGTGAGCCGTTCAATATTTAAACTTATTTTCGAAATATTCAATAAAATTCTTTAAACTACACCAAATGGCTATTTGACATACTGACTATTTGACTAACATATTTTAATGATGAAAGCTGGCATTCTTATAAAATTAGATAGTTAGATACTTAAAATTGTAAATTGGAAGGATTTGAATTTCTTATTACTATAATCTATCTATAATGACCATGTGTATGGGCTAATATTTCAGTTACAATTCAGATACAATTGTATAATTTATAGTACCTAAAGATTTCACTGTCAAATATCTTTAGCAGAATCATTTAAAAACATCAAATCTATGTAAAATGCATTTGCAACTCTATTCTAATGATTACTAAGTCCTTTTGTAAGTTAACTTCACCAAAAAGATATCAAATGATATCACTTACAAAAGGTGTCTTGTTCTTAGTCCAAAAAACGTAGTTATTGAAAAAAGTTTACCTAAGTCTTGATAAGACAATAACACCTACACTTAAGGCAGAAATACTACTTTTCCCACTTCACGCTAGCAAATTCTTAGAAAGTAGCAAACAAGATAATAAGAAATTTCTATTTTAATACAGTTGAACACAACGCTTCAAGAATTTCAACAGATCTCACACCTTTAATTTCTAGTTTACGTCCTCTAGAACAACTTCAAATGTTCCACCGACTATCACCCACGCGTCATCTTGTATACAAACAATGAAGCGTGGGTGGGTTCCTCTCATTATATCTATTTCCAGGAACAGCCCGTGGGATGCAAAGCATGGGTGTGTTCATTCTTCGACGCTCGTCACGTCCGGGAGACATTGACTGTCGCCTTCAGAACAGGTCCCCGGCGAAGGAGACTCAGGGTATCCTTGCTCATCGTCGTAGTTTGCGTTATTTTTGGACCTTTGCATGGTAAGCTAGATGAATTAACTAGTTAATTTAAAAAATAAATACATAACTAATTCTTCAGCTCATAAATACTTTTTTACTTTAGCTCTGATTTCAACCCACAATTATACGTTTATTTTTGCTCTGATCGTTTGAAGGCCTTTCAGTCAGAACAAGGCAAAAACTATTTTGTAACCCATCATAAGTTATTATTATCTGTTAAAAAGAACCTATGTCACTATATGCAGCTACATGTTTTAACCCAGAATTACCTTAAACTACCTTTTAATATGCAGTCTAATAATAAATTCTACCTTATCAGACGTCAAAAGTATAATGTGTTAGTTTTTATTGTAATATCCAAAATGATCCGATATTTATGGCGCAAATTATTCGCAGGTGAAATGAACGTGCTCTACCTGTTTATGAGGTACAGGTTCAACTGGGACGAGGTGCAGTTTAGTATGTTCTGTACCTACAGTATCATTACCAACTTAGTGGGTAAGTTGACTATACGTATTCTATCGCCCATTTTCTTGACTACACCCTTGTAAGAAACATTCAGTTGTTGTTCAATATTAGGTACATGTTTTCTTTTTTCAAATTTATACGTCTTCATGCTAGTCATGTCAACCAATTTGCCAAAAGTCTTTATTTCACCGCAGAACATGTGAAACTTAACAGTGCCTATATACAAAAGTCCTTACCATCTGTGACATCTCCGATACAATTTTTTTTTTTTTGCCCTCTACATAATATTATTTATCCTCAGGTACTCTATTCTCCATTAGCATCTTCAGCGACTTCATGAAACTGGATGACACCGTAGTGGGTATCATCTCCTGCACCAGCAAAATCCTCGCCTCCTTCATATTCGCCTTCGCTACCACTACCACCGAGATTTATATAGGTAAGGACTTAAGTTTATTTCTTTATATTATTCTATCTTTCCAAAACTGATTTGTAACGAACATTTTTAAAATGTGCCTTTAGCTAATGTTGATATTCAAAAATGAGTCAAAGAACTAGTAACTGAAGAAATATTTTCAAGAGAAGACATTTTGAGTTTTTTTTCTTGCATTCTTACATTGAACGTAGTTTTAATTCATTACATTGTTACAGCGCCTTTAGTAGAAATCTTCAACGGGACATCGTTCATCGCAATGCGATCTATTGCATCAAAACTTGTGAACAGTGAAGAATTAGGTAAGTCTACAGTTTAAAGCATTCTACGATATCATTACTTAATACTCATTTATACACATACGTTTGTGCAATAATTAGATGAAATGTATAAAATGCACTATCTACTATGACCCTTCACACTTCTGTAGCATCAATCTTTTTGTGCATTTAATCAAACATCATCAAAACTTATCATAAACTTGACCTTTTTTGTTTCTGGAATTTAATATTACTACTACTATCTATATCTGTATTGGTAGGTCAATCAATAATTATATAATTTCCAGGCCAAATCTCCATTCGTAGATTTTTATTTCGTATCAAAGGTACGTCATTACCTTTTCGCAGGCTTCCTGACCTTTAGTTCCACGTGGCTATGTGTGGGAGTCAAACTATTAGTCCCCAATTCCCAGATAATGTATTTCATTCATGTTTTAATACATACTTGATTTGGCAATAACTGTTAACGAATCTTCTGTTTAACACTAAAGTTTCAATAAATCGTTAATGATACTTGCAGATGTACATTTTTGGAAATCTGCACATTCATATTCAGGTTCCAGGTGTTTTACAACTAGGCTTACGAGGCTGAAATATTTTTAATCATCACAAAAAATGGAGAACATCCGTTTGAGCATCTATTGCTTCAGCACCTATGTATATAATATAGCATTTACATCATCATTACATAGTACAAAAGAAAATAAAGTATATAAAACAAAGTCGCTATCAGCTGTCTGTCTGTCCTTAAATATGCTTAGATTTTTAAACTGCGCAACAATTTTGATGCTGTTTTTTTTTAATAGATAGAGTGATTCTTAAGTAGGGTTTTAATGTATAATACATGCATATTGCACCCGTGCGAAGCCGGAGCGGGTCACTTGTTAAATATATAAGGTCGAATATCGTTGGTTTTCAATAAAAATAGCTCTAGATGGTCAAACAGGAATGCTACACAAAAACAATGTTAAAGAAATAAATGAAATAAGAGGTAGGTCTTCTAAGTATGACTAGCTGTACCCATAATATTGTCTGCGTTTAAAAAAAATAAAGTAGTCTATTTTGCTCCTGAGTTCATTAGCTACCAGCCAATAAAAGTCTCATCAAAATCAGTCCAGGCATTTCAGACATCAGCCAGTACAAACAGACAGACAGACAAAAAATGTAACGTGTTGTTTTGGTATATACATATGTATGTAGTAAAAAGCGGTTATTTCAATAATACAAACAGAAACTCCAATTGTATTTTTTGAGATTTAGATTCGGCACAGAAGGACATACAAATTTGAAATCAGAAACCAGAAGTTTAAATTCCACTTGTATTCTTTTTAAGTTATTGGACATTACTGCCTCGTTGGCCGAGTGGTCAGAAGTGCGACTGCCAAGCAAGGGGTCTCGGGTTCGATTCCCGGATCGGGCAAAGTATTACTGGGTTTTAAAAAATTCTCAGTTGTAGCATGGAGCCTGGAATTGTGCTCGGTATATGACAATAGGCTCACCCCCTATTACATGGGACTCATAACATAAATAGTGAAAAGTCGGTGGTCACTGTACAATGACAGTGGCATAATGTGCACCTCTGCTTACGCCTTCGGGGATAAAAGGCATGGTGTCATGTTTACGTTTATGTTATTAGACATTATTTGTTCGTATTTCATCATGAAAGATATTAAAACGCTACGTGCAGATTGGCATGTACTATAGGAAATTAGGTGACATTTAAGGAAAGACACAAATACTAGAATACAACTGGCATTGTGTATGTATTAGCCGTCATTGGATACGTTTGAGTAATAGGAGATTCCATACCTACATACATAATGGGTCACGATTTATAAGTTTAAATAAAAATGTTTATTCCGTGACTCACGATATAAAATATTAAATAATATGTTTAATTTGCTTACGTCAATACAGTAGGTAAGGAAGTACTTGTATGTACTGCATAATGGATTATTAATTTGTTTATTGTGTTACTTATATACACTAGACAGACAGTGGGTCTGTGACTTTGCCCGTGTAGAATTTAGAAGATGTAACTTTCTCATGTAGGACCCATTCTCGTAGGAATAGCAATATACAACTGTTGAAGTGGTTAGTTTTCATTTAAATAAATTATGGATACTTTATATACGTAATTTATTGTACAAACTTAAAAAACACATTTTGGCCCCATGCGATGATGCGATGTAAAGACAAGGGAGCAGGGAGAAAGCAAACATAGAGTAACAAATGACATTCTGAACGGTTACCTTCCCAAGGAGAAACTAGATGGCGCTGCAAGCAGCGCCATCTATGAAAGAAATATGAAAGAAAAAAGAAAAACATCTAAATTATACAAGTATAATTTAGATGTTTTTCTTTTTTCTTTTTTTTTGTAAATTAGATGTTTAAGATTATAAAATTTACCTTATTACGACAACAACTTTGTATGCTGCTATTCCTGCATGAAAAATAAAAGATATTAAAATAATAAATACTTATATGTATATTCATTTCATTTCATTATGTGTATGGATATAATATGTATTATGGAAATGATATCTTATCTCTATTACTCATAACCTTAATCTCTTGGTAACTTTTAGCTGTAGAAAACTTTAAGAATGACATAATACTTGCTGAAATTTCTATATCCACAATATTGTTGTGATCTTTGACGGGCATTTTCTACCAAACTCCGCGGCTCTAGATTACCTAACCAAATCTCACTAACTCTTAGTTGACCTAAAAATAAATGTAAACTTTATCCAATTAAAGTTAACGTGACGGAACTTAACATTGGATATAGGAGTCGAGGGAAGGATCGTGTCATTAAGTGCAAATAGCAGGTCAAGCTACCTCAATCTATCAATCGTTTTCATTAAATTTTCGTCTTTATATCGAAGAGATAAAGTTGAAATTCCATTAAAAAAAAATTGAGTGTTTTGGGGTAGGTTAACATACTGCTGTCTGTACAATCCCACTTGACCTTAACTTAAGACTAAATCATTTCAAAAGTCCAAGTAATTGGGTTGTTATAAGTGGGCATACGATTTCCATGTGTGTAAGTTTCATCAAAAAGTCGAACTTGAGAGTGACTGTGAGGTTTCTTAGGTTGAAAATAAAATTGGAACAAAGTTTATGTATTTGTTTGCATTTGGAACCAAAATAGTATTTGATTTTTTATTTTTTTTTGAAATTGGAATGATATTTTAAACTCATTCTGCACGCTTCTTTTTTGTTTCTTATTTATTTTCAACCGATTTCATTGTTTCTGATCTGCTATTTTATTACTACTTTTTTAAATTGACAACACATAGGCATATCAAAGGTATAGGTTGGTGGTTGGAGGTTGGTGCATAATAGACCTATTTTTATACTTAGACTATTTTTATTTTGTTTATTATGTTTCGTGAATATTACTTTAAGAATATAAAGTACTCTATACATACTAGTTATACACACAAAGAATGATGTTTTATTATTTTATTTTTGATAGTAACTATTTCAACACATAACATGTGTTGATTGTAACTATTTCATTTTGACTTTTATTCATTAATTTAAATTCGATTATATTTAACATTTTGATTACAAGATATTTTGATGATAAAATGTCAACTTTATTTTTTTTAATGTTAACTTCATTTTATCGAATGTTGCTGTGACCTTACAAGGTCCTTACATGGAACTTAGCTTTAAGCGTATAGTAACACCTTATTCACTTTATGGTATGCAAATAAATGAATATGAATATAAATATGAATCTTCTTAGAATTTAAGATATCTAAAATTAATATTCGTCTACCACTAACTTTCTAAATACGATTATTTCCTAAGACATTAACATACCAAATTACTTCCAGGTAAAGTGAACTCTCTCTTCGGTCTGGCCGAGGCGATGATGCCCCTGGTCTACGGTCCTCTATACTCTAGGGTATACATGGCAACCCTGACGGTGTTGCCAGGCGCTGTATTCCTGCTTGGAGCCGCTATGACTGTACCTGCTGTGGCTATTTTCGGGTAAGATTGTAATTTTACTTTTACTTAATCATCTGCATCAGTCGAAAAAAGGCTAGAACAAGGCGACCCTTTAAAAGGGTTTCCCGTTTTAAGGGTAAGAGTGACAATCGAGCAGACATGCCACCTGATGGTAAGCAATCAATGCTACACACTACACATGACAAATTGTCGTTGTGACAAACCGCACTTGGTGTAAAAATTGTCTTTGATAGTTATTAGGTACTTTTCACGAGTGACGCTAATCATTTACCTACCATCGGGTGATCCGTGTGCTAGTTAGACATAACATCACGCCTTTTATCACCGAAGGGGTAAGCAGAGGTGCACATTATGCCACTGTACAATGTAACACCCACTTTTCACTATTTATATTATGAGTCCCATGTAATAGGGGGTGAGCCTATTGCCATATACCGGGCACAATTCACGATTCCGTGCTACTACTGGGATTTTTTTAAAACTCAGTAATACTTTTCCCGACCCGAGAATTGAACCCCGAGACCCCTTGCCCGGCAGTCGCACTTGCGACCACTTGGCAAACGAGGCAGTCTAGTTAGACTCGTACTTTTTATCATAAAAGCGACCACCATTTCAAGTAAATAGAAATGCTGTTTAGTTACTATATCCATACCTATTCTGTTGGTTGTTTACTACCTGTAGAAGTGAATCACCTTGTTTCATCTGCCGCCTTTAGTATGAGTAATATCTTAGGGTGTGAACCATCACAATCCTACTAGTATTTGCTATCAAGATAGCTAAAGGATACTTTGTGTCATTCAATGTATGAAAGAATCACTGAATAGTTAAAAATTTATCTTAATCAATATATTAATACTAGCTACATCCCCGTGGTTTCACACGCTCTGCTCAGCACCTATTGGTCGTAGCGTGATGTTTTATAGCCTATAGTCATCCTCGATAAATGCACTATTCAACACAAAAATAATTATTCAAATCAGACTTGTAGTTACGGAGATTAGCGCGTTCAAACAAACAAACTCTTCTGCTTTATATAATAGTGTAAGATTAATAATAATAATTATATCTAAAGTTCTTAATGTAGTTGATAAAAAGTAAAAACTTAGTCTCGCCTTTATATAAACTGACAGGTACCTAATTAATAACTCAAAAAACTAACGATTTTTTGTATTATTAGCATGTATATAAAAACTACTGTTTTTTGTGTTGTGTCGTGTGTAGAGGCATTGCAAGTAGACGTGATCAAATGATATGTGAATCTCGGACAGTTTATACCGCATTGTAACTGTTTACATCACGCCTTATATCCTCGAAGGGGTAGGCAGAGGTGCACATTATGCCACTGTACAATGTAACACCCACTTTTCACTATTTATGTAATGATTCCCATGTCATAGGGTGTGAGCCTATTGCCATATTCCAGACTCCGTGCTACTATTGAGATTTTTTTTTAAAAACTCAATGATACTTTGCCCGACCCGGGAGTCGAACCCGAGACCCCTTGCGACCACTCGGCCAACGATGTAGTCTGTGTAACTGTTTATAAGTATGGTAATTGACTAAGATTCTGATACATTGTCCCATAAAATAATTACTAGCTTAACTAAACGCTATATTTTTGACACATCTCTTATGAATGCTTAAAATTATTTATCAGTTAGACTGAACCAGTGCAGTGGAACAGAACATTAATCACACATTTGGAACAGAACAATTCATGTGTGTGCACTATATATAATATACTTATGTGCATATGAATTATGTTAATCAGGTTTTTGTTCTATTGTTCTTCCAAAGATTAAGTCAATATTTAATCATAAGATTTTTACAAAGATTAACTCGGTCAAATATCATACCTAATACTCCAACATTGATACAGTAATTTCATCCTTAATGCACTTAAAATAAATACGCTTTATAGTTGATAACATACCTAATCTAAGGTTGTAGGTTTTTGTTCTATGATCAATGCTGGTCAATTTTTCCATAGAAAAATACAGAAAAATGCCTAGTCATCGTTATTTGCAATTTACACAGTATTCGCAAATATCATGTTGTAGGTAAAACCGTAGTAATTTTAAGGAAAAATATCGAAGATGCTTACAAACGATGCTGTGAATTTCAAGAAATCGTAATCCGGTTTTGACCTCCTTCACTGTTGCTGAGTATAAAATTAAACTCGTTCCATGAAATAAGGTTATGTTTTGTAGGCTTTATTGGAGACCGCAGTAGTACATTCCATAATTTAATCCAATTAGACCATTAAAAGACACTTTTGAATATCAAACAAAATAATAAAACATGTCAGTCTGATGCTCAATGAAGTGAAGCTACTTGCTAGTTTCAATGTAGATTCCTATGGAGAAAAACGAGCAAAAAAACTCCGTGGTTGCTCTTTTTCCATCAGCCAAATAATCCAGCTCTTCATCATCATCAACAGACTATAAGTGCCCACTGCTGAGCAAAACCTCTTCTCACACGGAAAAGGTTTGAGCATTAATCACCACGCTTGCTCAATGCGGGTTTACAATTACAAACTTATAATTAGAAATTACAAGCCCAGGTTTCCTCACGATGTTTTCCTTCACCGTTTGTCAGTGGTGTCTAAATCTTAGAAAGTACATATAACTCGGAAAAAGTCACATTGGTACTTGCCGTTGGTAGGTTTGGAACCCGCATCCTCATGTATGAGAAGATAAAATCTTAAACCTCTGGGCCACCACGATAATCCGGTTCTTGGTTACATTGTTTTGTTGATTCAATTATGTGAGGATAGTGTATTTGGTATACGCTCAGCCAAAATGATACAAAAAAGAAACTTGAGCATTAATGATTATATTTTTCGGTTAACTCACATAATTATTTTACAAGAAACTCGACTAGTTTCAAGCCATACTCGTATTTATGAGGCTCATATTTATGAGCAGTATTCCACGACACACGACGCGGTGACTGTTGTGCTGCTACTCTGCGACAGTTGAAGCTTAAGAATGCTCAATCAGCAGTGGTTGGTCTGAGTTTTTCCCATACCTTCGGTGATATCATGTTATTTATAATCAAACATTACTCACTGGGTACCTAATACAAACAAAGGTGACATTATAAAATAAAATGTGAATATTTTTAGTGACAAAAAATGTAGCTAGCATTGCAGATGTGACCTTCATTCTACAATTACATCATATTTAGTTCATGGTTGGCTGAGTTATAAAAGAGTATAAACATACATATATACATATATCTACCTATTATGACAAACACAACAAACATAAACTAATCGTCTGTCATGTATAAATCTACCTATTATGTACTAACATAACTAGCAATTTGCCCAGGCTCTGCTCCTGTACTAGTTCCCGCCTGGGACGATGAATTTGTCCTTTCAAACAGATAAATTCATCGTCAGAGACGGACTTTAACTCTCCTAACAATAACGAATACAAAAATCTTATACCATATAATACAATTTTTGCAGTCGTTGAGTAGTGGCGCACAAACATTCAATCGATTCATTTGCTTAACAAAATTGATAAATCGTTGAAGTTAACTCCATCATTTATTACATTGTAGTAAGTAAGGAAATATAATTATTATTATTTAACTTATTACATACTTATTTCTTAACAACGTCATACTTTTGTAGTTAATATACATAAGAAGTTAATGAATAAAAATAGTTGATTAGTATCTATGATAGTAAGTAAAACTATCGAACTTGGATTCGATCACTAGATGGGGCAAAATATTTACGCATTTTCAAGTTTAGTCACAGTCACAGTTAGGAATAAAAGTTACTATTTTTTCGTACGTAATTTTTATAATATTGAAAAATTATATCTGTGTATTTGCAATACATTTTTAGTAAATTATAATTTTAGGTCTTCTTTAGTAAACTTATTTGCTCTCATTTAATTGTGAAACATATACAATAATTTCACTCAACTTCACCTTCAAAAATGGTTGAAATACATAATTAACTGATGTTTATTTTATAGTTATTTAGCATAACACGATAATGGCAACAACCATACTATAACTACTATAACTTAAAAATACTATAACTTAAAAAATAAATTGTACATCATTTCGTTTCACTTTTTTACCGACCAATTTCCACAATTAATAAATCAAAAACGAATAACAAAAAACTAAAAAGGTTACTCACCGACTGATAGGATAGAATTCGGTGCCATAAGCTCATTGCTAAATGATAAAAACTTAATGTGCCCAAAATTGTTAGTAGCTTAATATTAGGTGTCTAAAAAGATTTTAATGAATAATTTTGTTTAGTTATGGCACCGCCTTTATCGCCTTTATTTTTATAATAGTTATTTTTCGCTTTTTAGTTTTTCCTTTTTGCCAGCTTCTTTGGTCAAGAGTGTTGATTGCTCATTCCTTCTCGGTGTAAGAAGAGTGTGACACTATAATGATAATGATGCTGAAGTAATCGTTCTATTAACTTAACACCTAAGATTAATAATACAAACATTAATAATACTAATATTTGGTTGACTCAGATATAATCTTGAACTGATTAATTATCTTGTTTAAGTATTTACTGAGTATTCATTGTTAAAGCAACAACATCATCACGTGGGTGGCCATGAATGGATAGAGCGTTCATCTTTATTTGTGCATACTTGTAAAGTAACACCTCCTGTGGTTTTTTTTTTTTTAAGGGGGGAAAATCATCGAATGACTGCTCCCGCCTGGGTGAGGCGGAAGGGAGTGTCAGACTCTTACTGACTAAAAACCACCCCGTTCCTTCTCCTGCACGTCGAGCCGGAGCCCCGGTTACCCGTTAGGTTCTCCGCGACACCTCCTGTGGTTGACATTAGCTTGTCTAGCTAATATAATTATTAACACGTACAGTAATCTGTAGGTACGGTGTGTCGCGTTCCGTGCGCGCCATCAGACAACCACAGATGGGGCCAATAGCTGGCCTGGCACAGGCTGGGTGCTTACTCTTGAAACCAATCTCAATCCAATAAAATCTCAATAATATTCCAATGTCAAAACTA